AATCTCTCCGAACAATAGATAGCACACTATTCCCGATCAGGCCGCACGTTTTGATGTATTTTTCACGGCGCTGTTGGCAACGCTGTGTGAGGAGAAGCGCGCCAAACTTTTGGATAAAGATTATTAGTATGATTAAGCCCGATGGATTATATACAGTGTGGCTTTGTAGCACAAAGGCAGTAAAACTACCTTTGTGCTACAAAGCCACACTGAATAAACTATACAAATTGTCAATATTTGTGTTTTTGAAATATGGAATCACCCAGTAATATGTGTAAAATATGATATCTGCGGCAAATATATGCTTTTCCTGCACGTCCTCTCGGCGCGTGCACGTCTCAGCAGCTCTGGGGCGCTGGAGAAACTGTCCAAAAGAGGCGGGGCTATGAAGCAGTTTAGCCAATTGCTGATTAAAGATATAAATGAGATATAAATGTGTGACATACAATTTAGCCAATCAGCGTCCTCAAATAGATTCAGCTTGGGGCAGAATCGATTCTGATTCTTCTAATAAATGTAGAAAGTTGTTTGTGGTCCTTTTGTTGTTCAGACTACAATGAACATTTATTTAAACCAGATGTTGAATCATAAACGAATCAAATATAAACTAAAGTTTAATCTGTGATCGTCTTCACTGTTTACATGTTGAACAAAATCTCATCAGTCCGATCGGCTGCAGCGTCCAATCACATGACTGATGAACAATGAGGGGGCGTGTCGGCCGTTAAAACACTTCCTGGAAGTCTGTTCTCGTGGTTCCTCGCTCACGGCTCCTCAGAGATCCCTCCTCTCTCCTCCATCCTCGCTCGTCAGAGCAGGAATAAGAGCTTTGGGACGGCCGTCAATATGGCGGCGCAGAACAACTTCCGGTTGAAGCGAGGATCAAGGAGCGAGGAAACGACAATTAAGAGACTTGGAATGCACCCTTAGTGTCTCTGATTTGTTGTCACATGACTGTTGGTCTCAGATGAATCAATCATGACGTCATAGTTTCACAATTTAATGTTTTACACAGTCTGGTTAAAGTGAACGCTTTATTAGAGGAGACATTTATGATGAGAACATGGAGAATTTGTTTTGGCTGATTTTTCTGATGGAAGTGTTCGTCACACATGATGTGTTCAAGGACCGTCGTAAACATGAACACCTGATGATTCTGACAGTTATCACAGATTCCTGCTGAGCGGTAACGCTGTGCCGGTCTCACCTGTGGGGGCGTGGCTCTCGGCCCGATCGCGGTCTCCCTTGATGAAGAGGGCGGTGGCGAGGAAGAAGCCTCCTCCGATCACGGCCACGAAGGAGCAGAGCAGCAGAGAGAGCTGCAGGGAGCGGAACTGCCACAAGAACGAGTCCGTCTTCCTCAGAGAGTCCGACAGCTGAGACACACGGGAGGTACAGAAGCTTTACTCATTCTAGTTCTTTGATTCATGTTTCAGGAATAATGTTTATGAATTAGTAGAAATATATACACATAAAAATAATTAACTAATGTATCGATTTATCTTTGCTATAATTTACTTTATTTTAATTCTCTTTACGTTTCTTCTGTTTTTCTCGTTATTATTATTTATGATTTTAAATGTCTGGATGTTTCTGTACCCGATTTAAACAAGATGGTTCCTCTGAAGGGTTTATCCTTCTTAAATAAATACATTTAATAATAAATATCTCTCTAATAAATATAAAAACATGTATTTATTATCAAGGATCTTTGCTGCATTTGTCTACAATAATAAAGCCATTAAATACCCCAAAGACCATGTGTGTGTGTGAGTGTGAGTGAGTGAGTGAGTAGGTGTGTGTGTGTGTGTGTGTAGGTAGGTGTGTGTGTGTGTGTAGGTAGGTGTGCGTGTGTGTGTAGGTAGGTGTGCGTGTGTGTAGGTAGGTGTGTGTGAGTGAGTGAGTGAGTGTGTGAGTGAGCGAGTGTGTGTGAGTGAGTGAGTGTGTGAGTGAGCGAGTGTGTGTGAGTGTGTGTGTGTGTGTGTGCGTGTGTGAATGCCTGCGTGAGTGAGTGCGTGTGTGTGTGTGTGTGTAGGTAGGTGTGTGTGTAGGTGTGTGTGTGTAGGTAGGTGTGTGTAGGTGTGTAGGTGTGTGTGTGTAGGTGTGTGTGAGAGTGTGTGTGTGTAAGTGAGTGTGTGTGTGTGTAAGTGAGTGTGTGAGTGTGTAGGTAGGTGTGTGTGTAGGTGTGTGTGTGAGTGTAGGTAGGTGTGTGTGAGTGAGTGTTTGAGTGTAGGTAGGTGTGTGTGTAGGTGTGTGTGTGTGTAGGTAGGTGTGTGTGTAGGTGTGTGTGAGTGTAGGTAGGTGTG